AGCTTGGTGTGTGTATTTTTCATGGCTGCTGGAGTGAGACAGGGGGTCACGGGGCTTTACTGTTGCACAGCCAAGAGAGAGCAGCCTTTTCTGTTCACAGACTGTGCACGTTTTTGCATCACAGTTTTCACTGTAAGCACACCAGATGTGTTGACTGCTGTCAAAAGTGTTTCTTAGTGTTTGTAGGGACACTGCACTATTTCGACGTTTAGCGTCATGGATTGTTTTATAGCATTTCAAACAAACAAATTTGGAGTGTTTGTCACTAGTGCCATCTTTGATACTCAACCCAAACACAAGGAAGAGGTCACTGGCTATTTCCGAACACAAATACGGCTTTTTAAAAGATTTTCTCTGCTTTCCTGTAATGTTCAGTCTTCCGCACACTCTACACAGACAGTTTAAAGCGAATACATGACTTTCAGAGGTGTGCTCCATTTTAAGGTCTTCGTTGTATACGGCAATAACGTTAGTAAATTCGGGGGCCCAACATAATAATCCGATGTAGCTTAACAACCACAACTGCGGTAGTACTGAAATTTATACACTCAAAACATGATTTATTAATGAACTCACAAATCGAATCCCCCCAAAAATTCAATGCACCGTTTTGTTGTAATAAATGATTATTAATCCTCAGTTTGAAATAAGAAAAACGTGTTACTCAGGCAGCAAACAGACATGTGTAAAACACTTGGTATAACACGTAGAAGACTGGGACTTTCTTTTAAAGGTTGAGAAATGGTGTTGCTAAAGTCTATTAATTAAAACTACTTGGTGGGTCTTACGGCACCACTGTAATTTAGACTGTAAATGAGACGATTTTATCAAGAACGCATCCCTGACCCCAATAAAAAAAGGTCAACGGGTACCGGGCGAGGTGATAAATCACCGCCGGACAGCAAGAGCCGCGGTACAACTAAAAGGCGCGATTTCGGCTGATTTCGTGCGCCGTGAGTTTGGCAGTCACCCTACACTCAATTCCAGATTCAATACTGAATGATAGGTGCCGTGAACGATAGTCCATAAATGCTTAAAAAAAACAACAACCTCGCCTCATTTCATACACACTGTTCATCTTAACTTGTTCACACCCAAACACCCCCTTCCCCTCCCCACATATATAAACACTCACGAGAGCATGCTGGCGTGCACACTCACTCTCTCACACGCACACACACACACACACACACACACACACACACACACACACACACACACACACACACACACACAAGTTTTCAAAATATTATTACCCAATATCAAGAAAAGCACGCGCGTTCGATGGGGCAACGATCATCTTTTTTGTTCCTTCTTTGTCTTTGTACTACCTGATTTTGGGCCAAAATACCTGAAACTGACCATGAATTTACCTGAAATGGGAACTTTGAGGTTGGCAGCCCTGAGATGAAGATCACCACTCTAGGGTGCCCACTCTCCGCAGCAAGTTTTTAGTGTTGTAGCTCTGATGATGATGATGATTATTATGATGATATGATGATGATGATGATGGGGAGGAGGAAGATTCATAAGATGAGGTATTTTTTTCAGTGGTTTCTGATGATGATGATGATTATGATGATAGTGTATGAATCAACATGCCATAACGAAGATTCTTAAGTTGAGTATTAGTATTAAGCACATCGACTTAAGTTCACTCAGTTGCTGCTCACTACGGTCCAGCCATAGTATGTTTGTAAAATTGCTTTATGTGACTGAGATAGTGTAATGTAACTTGTAACACAATGTGGGTTCATGGTCATGAATATTATTGTGTGCCAATTTTATGTCTCGTGCATTTTGTTCTCATGCCATTGTAAGTACTGCCAATTTCCCTGGGATGAATGAAAAATGTAATTTTGTTGTTCCAGGTCAACTACCTCATTGACGAGGGTGTGTTGGTAGGCAAGGGAAGCAACACAGTGATCTCACTCCTCCATCACTTCTTCGAGACTCATGGGCTTGGGGAGTCAGCAGTATCACTACATTGTGATAACTGCTCAGGCAAAAATAAAAATGGGTAAGTAATAATACCCAAATAATACAACATTTCAAGACATCTCTGTTTATCTTTAGATTTACTTTCATGTCAATGTTTGTTTTGTAATCCTGGGAGTAGCTGGTGAGAACTATGGTGGATTAGTACTTGTTGCTTCACTTTTGCCCTGATCTTGTTCTTCTTTTCTATTTCTTTTGTGTGTGATCATGCTGTCTGTGTGACAGTGTGAGACATATGTTTTTGAAAGAGTCATAGAGAGGAGTATGTGTGTGTGTGTGTGAGAGAGAGAGAGTGAGAAAGAGAGGGAGTGGGGGAGGGATAAATGTTCTGGTATATATCCACGCACATTTCTTTTGTTGTTCAATAAAGTTTATCTTATCTATCTTGTTACTCTCTTGTAATCCTATTATTGGCCCCATACAAATGTAGTACAGAATCAAACTCAAACCTTTAGTTTTTGACCCAAAAATGTGCATCCTCAGGTTTGTTCTGGCGCACTTAAGACGGAGGGTTCTGAGGGGCCTTCACAAAGAAATCACCCTGAACTTCATGATTGCTGGCCACGCCAAGTTCTCGCCAGATCTGTGCTTTGGCCTCCTCTAGAGGAAGTTCCAGCAGGCTGAGGTTCATTGTCTGGAGGGTATGTGCAGAGTGGTGGAGGAAAGTTCATCGGTCAACGTGCCTCAACTGGCTGGAACTGAGGATGGAACTGTCTCTGTACTGACGTACAACTGGCAGACCTTCCTGGCCGACTTTCATACTGTGCCAGGCATGAAAAAAATACATTATTTTTGTTTTGCTGCTGACCATCCAGGTGTAGTCAAACATGCTGAAAGCTTTGGGGATCCTCTTGTTTCAATGACACTCTTACGAGGAACAATGAAACAAGGTTTCCTCTCCATATTGCCTGCACCAAGACTGTCACAGCAGAGAAGGGAGTATCTGTATAACTCCTTTAGGGAATTTGTTACTGATAATAAGAAGGACATCACCTGCTCTCCTCCATAATCATTTATTGCATGTTAAAATTTTTGTTGATTGTATTGTACCAACAGTAACTGTATTGATTAGCTTTTATGTGTGTGGGCGTGTGTCTGCCGTCGTAAGGGAAAACGATGAATGGTCCTGCGCAGGTAGCGAGGCAAATTTTTCAGGAGAGGCAAAAACTGTTTTCACTTTATAACTCTTCTATTTTTCATTCTTTTAAGCTGTAATTCACCAGATATCTGATTGATGTGTTCATAAAGCAGTTTCTAAAGTTTGAATCGTTTAGGTTAAAAAGTAGCAAAGTTATTCGACATTCGTCGATCTCCCTTACATTGCGCACCCGCAGGTGAGCCTTGCAATGTAAACGAAAACGACGAATGGTACGGTTCGTCGTTCTCCCTTACACTCGTGAACGTTTATGGGCGAAGGCGATGGTCAGTTGTGACGCATTATGGATAGTAATGACTGTGTACTGGTTACTACAAATAAAGATAAGACGTATACAAACTAGCTATTATACGTATAAAGTTAGGTGTTTGTTATATTCCAATCATAACTCGGTAAACATCCTTCGTTTTCTTTCCTCGCTTGGTTAAATACTACACAGTCAGTGTACAAATCAGAAGTGCACACATTTTCAACAGCTTGATTTAAAACTGTCTCATTCGCAAACAAAGTTTGGTCTCCATGATATCTCTTTATTGTATTCTCTTCAGAAGCGAGTTGTACTTTTATTTTCGCTAATTGCAAAATTTTCCCTGCACGACCAAAGGGATCAACAATGTTACAATGTCAATAATACAATCAGATCATTGCAAAGTCAAACTTTCATGTAAAAAATGTAACAATCTGAAAAGACTCACAAACGCTTTCGGGAGAGGTGATGCGACGCTTTGTATTTAATAAAGGATTCAGTTGATCGGATCGGAAAACATACCACAAAGTAGAGATCGACAAGGACAGTTTGAATCTGCAAGACATTATACTCGATTGTAACGTCCATCAAGTCAAATAAAAATCGCAAAGCAAGACTAAGTGTCACCACAGTACGTCCACTTTTTAAGTTCGACAAAGAAATTTACTCTCATAACGCAGTGTCATTAATTGCTTGGTAATTCTATAATGATGTCGACCAGTGACAAGTGCTAGACAAATTGCGGCACTATAACCATCGTTGGGATTTGGGATGTCAAATGACTGGACAGCAAACTAACATGACATTAGTCTGTGAACATCTGGGGGACACTAATATGCAGTGCTAATAAATTTCTCCCTAAATACTTTTTTGACCCTCCCATCCCCACCCCTTTCCCCCTGTTCCAATCCGTTTTCCCCTCTCTCCCGCCTGCTCTTGTCAATTCACATCATCAGCATAGGGCTCGTACATGAAGACAGACAGAAAGACACACTAAGTGATACATTCTTATAAACTTGGTCGACGGTACTCCGGTGGAGGGGGTGGTGGTGTATTTGTTTGCAAAAAACCTAGTATGTTTGTACTGACGCAACAGTGACCAACTGTCATTCGTCGCCCATGCCGAATTTGCCCAATGGCAGAGACCAGGGGACAATGCCGAACGAGCAGTGATCCTTGACCGATCGACCATTCGTTGTTCTCCCTTACACTGAGCTCTGGCTCGGATCTCGCCAGTGTACGGGAAAACGACGAACTCTCAATTACGCAACAACGAATATGACAAATTTTTTTCCACCATCAGATGCAGAATGAAATACTCTATGAAATATATAAAAATTGAAAAATTGAAAAATTTTGACCATTCGGTGTTTTCCCTTACGACGGCAGGTGTGTATGTCTGTGTGTGTTTGTAAGTTTCTTTGGTTTGAGTTTTTCATCTTTGTAATCATTTTACTGCGCTCGCAACAGCATAAGATCATATTAGCGCGTGGGACTCATTAAACATTTTCAGTTTGTAGGAAGCCCACTCTTGTCGATTTTAGGACCACCAAGGCATCTTTAACATGTACGACTTGCACACAGGACCTCAGAGATTTTTCTCCCTTATTCAAGAAGGCTAGGTGTTTGATCTTACTGACTCTAGTCGATTTTTAAAATTTAAATCAGATTTTTTAAATTTAAATCGGATTTTTTATATTTTTTATATTTTTTTTAAAGTGCCAACTCAGTTTGGGAT